TGTGTGTTATTAGTTTAAGCAGACTGTGATTGTCTATTGTTGTGACTTAGAGATGATGATCAAATCACATTTTATGACCAATTTGTGCAGAAATCCATATAATTCCAAAGGGTTCAGATACTTTTTCTTGCAACTGTATTATATACATTCAATTTTGTTGCTTTCCTATTATTTTTCCTTGCTTTGTTTTCTTCCCCCTGGGTCCAGAAGGTGTGCATAGTGATTCTTTTGCTCAGCCTTATCTGGCAGTTCAGTTGTCTTTTCCCCCCTGTGGGTGGGTTTCCTTTCTGTTCCCCTGTATTTGATTCTTGTCTCTCACCCAGCCGGGAATCAACAGCAAGGGCATCTAGCTCTCCCTCGCTCCGTTCCCGGCTCTTTTCTTAGTACCTGCCGGCGGCTCTAGTTGCATTCGCGCGGCGGTTACTTTCAGTTTCACTTTCGCCACTCGCGGCGGCCATCTTTTTGGTTTCTCTGTCACCGCCCTATGCCGGCGGCCAATTTAGCACTCGTGTTGTGGTAGTGTCGGATTTTAACGTTCAGCAAACGGCGCTAATCCTCTGGACCCGGATACCCTGTTACTTTTTCTAATTACCTTCCTGATTACCCCTCTACCCTGTGCTTGGGTTAAGCAATCCTGCACCTTTCATTTTATTTGTTTTCTTACTTGCACTTATTAACTGTATCACCATGCAGTCGGCTAGAGATGACCTACCTGACCACCCTATTCCCTCACTGGGAGCCCCTGGCCCTGACCCCAGCTGACCCTGGCCTCCTAGGCTCAGAAGAATTCCAGAGCCAGCTCTATTAGAAGGGCCATCTCATCAGCCATGGGAGCTATGTCAGACCCACCCTGCTCACGCTACCCCTGTACAGACACATACTACCCCTGAATGGGAATTGTCAGGGCGCAAGGTGCTGAGCAAGCGCAAACATGCTCAGGACCCCCCCCCACACCCAGGTTAACCCTGGTAAAATTTACATGCCTCACGCGGTCTGTGATGGCGCGCAACAACCGCGCAGTGGAGCTACTGGCCGGGCTAAGGCGGCCAGAGAGTGGAAGCGGGCACGGGCCCATTATGTACTGTCTGAGTCAGACGATGAGGGGGATGAGGGGTCGGATGACCATTACTCAGATCCCTACGGGGACTTGATCTCTGATGACGAGGGCCTCCTGGGAACACAATTCCCATCTGCACCGACTCCTGCTACGGCACAGTCGGAGGTGCTTGGGGCAGATGCAGTCTGTGACACGACTTTGTTCGACCCGGACAATTTACGGCACCCTCGCTCCTCTGAATGGGAGCCCTCCGAGCACATCGCTCAGAACCTAGCTCTCAGAGTACGTAAATCCCTCTCCCAGAAGGGTCGTAACAAGCTGAGAGCGAAATGCCCCATACCTATTATACCAGATGCAGTGGCAAAAAACCCCAAAGTGGACCCTCAAATTGTCCAATTTTTGGCTAAGACCAGTTGGAAGCCTAAGAAGGGGCTAGACCACTCACTTCAAAATTGTCAGGACAAGTTCCTAGACACTCTGGGTCCGGTCACTAAGTTCAGCTCAGGTACAATTGGACTTTGATGTGGTGTTTGGATGGCTCCAACGCCTGGTTTGTATGATCGGCAACGCCAATACGGCCATGTCTACCGAGCGCAGGAAAGCTATCCTGCTCAAGATCGAACCAAAACTAGCTAGCATGGCTCCCAATGAACCAGGTGCTTCTGCTAAAGGCTTGTTATTCGGAGAGTCCTTCGTAAAGGACCTGGGCTCATACGTAAAGACCTTCAAGGCCTTGGACAAAGCCCAGTCATCCATCAAATGAGTTTTCAACCAAAAGGTTTTCGGTGGGGCCGGTAGAGGTAGGAGCTGTCTGTCTGGCCGCAATTTCCGAGGTTTCTCCAGACCGGGCAGAGGCTCCTTCAACCCTCAAAGACCAAACCAAGAGTGTTCCTACACTCCGTTCTTCCCCTCCCGAGGAAGACCTTGGAATGCCCGCGGCAGTCAAGGAACATCCGCAGGAAAACGTCCTTATGGTGAGTACAGTCTTTCCCCATTTTTCCCATATAAACGTGGGGGGCAGATTGGCCTTGTTCTCTCAGGCTTGGGCTATGATCACATCCGACAGTTGGGTGTTGCAGACCATAGAGTGTTACCACCTAGAATTAACGGCCCTTCCCATTCAGGACACCCCTCCACGGGTGCTCCACATTCCAGGGTCACACCGCAATCTCATCTCCTCGGAGATCTGGGATCTGCAAGCCAAAAAGGCTATAGAGGAAATCCCTCTAGATACACCAGGTTTAGTGAGCAACCTGTTTTTAGTGCCAAAAAAGGGAGGAGGCGTTCGCCTGGTTATAAACCTGCGGCCCTTAAATGTCTTCGTCCAATATCGACACTTCAAGATGGAGGGCATACACTGCCTCCGAGACCTACTTCTCCCATGGGGACTGGATGGTCAAACTAGATTTGCAGGACGCGTATCTGACGGGTCTGTCACAGGGATCTGGTACAATTCCGGTTAGGGACAAAGAAATGACGTTTCACATGCCTTCCCTTCGGACTGTCCTCTGCTCCCTGGTGCTTCACAAAAGTACTGAAGCCAGTGGTTGCTTTTCTCAGGCTACACGGGGTCCGGCTTATTATATATCTGGACGATATACTCATACTCTCAGGGACACGGTCCCTACTGATAGTCCTCTTATCATGGACCCTACATCTCCTTCAGAACCTCAGTTTCCTGGTGAACTGGAAGAAATCGGTTCTACGACCTTCACAACAGATGGAATTCCTGGGATTCCGAGTCGACACCGTTCGACAAATTCTATGCCTCCCGGTAGAAAAGATGTCCAACATCAAAAAAGAGATCAGGCGTGTAATGAACCGCCCGGACAGTTCTCTGAGACAATTGGCATGAGTCATCGGCCTCCATCCAGGAGATATTTCCGGGACCGCTTCACTATCGGGCACTACAACGACTGAAAGCTACCTGCCTAAGAAGTGGCCAATCGGACGAGACCCACGTTACTCTGGACGAGGAATCCAGGAAAGAACTGACCTGGTGGTTGACCCACATGGAAGCGTGGAACAGACAAGCGATCTTTGGTTCCACCCCGGATCTAGTGATAGAGTCGGACGCCAGCTTACATGGCTGGGGCGCGCGTTGCGGCTCCATATCCACCGGCGGCAGGTGGTCCATAGACGAATCGTTTCTACATATAAACTCTCTGGAACTAC